ATCTTTACGCATTAGACCCAAAGCTCTCACACAGAGAGAGACTGGAGTCCAGCAACCTGATACAGTCCGAGCAGAGAAAACTATCCGGAACTCCGAGACGAGATCTGTTGTCTGGCGCAGTCAAGAGTCATAACTTGTAGACTGAGATAAAATATCGCTGCGCGGACGGGGTTGGGTTTTTGGAGACTGGCAACTGACGGCACAACAGGTGCTGCGCATAAAGCACAACTTTCCAGCCAAGGGAACTCCCCTGGATGTTAACCATTACGTTGCTGTCTGGGTCTATGATGTCCTTTGCCGTCCCATTCTGTCATCCAATGGCTTACTTTCCCTGTTTTCAAGCTTCAGGATTGAAAAAGAGAGAGAGAAAAAAAAACATCAGCTTGGCTCGCAGAACAAAGACGGGATCAAGCTTTTGTAATAGCTTTGCAGAAGCATCTAAAGAAAGAAATGACACGTGGTCCAGTTAGTTAATAAAAATAGAAATACATTAACAAAAACTACTAAATAAAAAAGTATAAAACTAAGCTGACGAATAGTTTGTTTTTGGTTTTTCCCTGTGTCTGAGAGAAAAAAAAAATAATTATTTTCGTATTAGGAACAACCATTTCTTGCCAAGTTTCAATTTAATCCACTTCATTAGCATTTATATCTGTAATTTTGAATATCTGATTGAAATAATATGAAGATATTTATCTTCATATCATAGGAGTATACTTTATTCTTCCTCACCTCACTGAAGAAACTGAATTATCCATAAAAGCACATTTTTAAAGAAATAATTTTAACAAGTTACTTTAACTTACAGTGAATTAAAGTGGAAAAAAAATGACCAGTTGGATACTAAATTCTTTTATCGTTCATGTTTCTGAGGAAGGAAATGTTAAAGGGCTTCCCAATTTGTTATATCAAAGCAGAGTCGCTGCTTGGAACAATACTCCCTCCTGTTCCCAATTTCCTTTTCTCTCCAGCACGGTGCAGTACCTCATCAACTGTGTTTCATGTGGTTCCTCCCACCACACTGTTGGCTAAACCCACCAGTATCCCCACGCTGTAGGTTAAATCTGCTGCGGCACAGACACAACAATCAAAGGAGTTCTGGAGACATATTGAACCTATTGAGTTAGACGCATGATGCAATGCTGCAGCAATTTACCCCCAGTCTCGCATAGCTCAGAACTACACAGCACTACCACCTCAAAGAGAGCAAAGAGCAGCCTTCTCTGTGGCACCAAGGTTTAAGGGAGAGTTTTTTGTGCTTTTAATCTAAGTGAACTGTTTGAAGAAAAAAGCATGGCAAATTGATGCAGTCATTTCATAATTGTATTGCCCCTGTGGAGGGAGGCAAATGGAGGTCTTCATGTGATTTCTGCAAGGGCCAAGGCCCTTTTGTGTAAAGGAGAGTATCACATTCCAGCTCTGCAAGGGCCTGCAGCAGATGTCAGCACTTCACTTTGTGGAATCCCTCTCTTTTACACACACACACACACACACACACACACACACACACAATCTTTCACCCCACGAGGTTCTGTCTGCAAAAGTTGAGTATTTTGTCTCTTTTTCCACATTTGATCACCACTTCCAGGGTGGTCTTGCAAAATACACAGGCTTTGATACCAAGAAATAAAATAGAGGAAATTAGGGACAAGGTAAACCATTTAGGTCACAGCTTATGGGCAGAGACATGTCGACTGGTGGGAGGGGTCACCATGTGTGTGTAATAGAGAAATCAGTCATCACCTCTCATATGAATATCGCTAGGTTTGCTTGATTACTTTGGATATTAATTGGTCAAACAAACACTTGCCCTCTTTCAATGATTTCTTACTAACAACCAGATCAAATATTACAGAAAGTGGAAGTTTAGTTCCATTTTCTGCAAATGGAACAGAAAATTCCATTTACAGAAATGGAATTTCTGTAAATGGAATTTACTTAATTGCTAAAGCAGTTAGTGTTTATTCCAAAACTGTTATGCTCAGAGGGGCAAGACTTTTGAGATTACCAACATCTCTAGATTTTGTTCAGACATAAGTTTTATTTCCATCCTTACATCATAAAAGTCAACAAAGAGGGGCAGATAACAGTTTCTGAGTGTTACTAGTTGGTCATGTAGCCTCTTTATTGTATCAGTGAATCTCTGATGAGCTCTTGCTTTTGAAAGAACCTTAGAAAACATGCCCACTTTGGTATCAATTGCCCCAAGCTGCACTTGGCTTTGAAACCAGAGCCCCCTGGTGGTGCCCCTTGGGGCTACAGACAAGCACTGGCCCTAGTAGTATATGAACTTCTTCCAGTTCTTGGTTTTTCTATTATTGGTAAGGAAATGTCAAAAGTTTGTTTAAACTAAATATTCTAATTTATTGTAATAAAATAATCCTATTTTCTAATGCGCTTCTCTTGTGTAGGGTTAGGGGAGCTGTCATTTAAGCATATTTGATTTACTTCTTCATGAAACACTCAGTACTAATTCAGATTATGCAAGTTTTTTTCAACTTTTTGAATTGTTTTGTCTCATTTTTATTAAAGAGGCAAATTAAGACTTTAAGTGAATTGGATGAAAAACCCGTTTTTTTTTTTTTTTTTTTTTTAGTGTTTACATGTAGAGGCTCTTCCAATCAAATAGAAATCAACTCAAATTAATCTGCTTGCATTTGAAAACTAGAGCTGGCCGATATGCTCTGCTACTAGATAAAACAATCCAGCATGAACAGGTACTATTAAAACTGTTAACACTAATACAAGAAACACAAGCAAACATTTAGACAAAAAACACTCACTCAAGTTTGAAAGCTGAAGAATAGAAACAAGCCTTTAAGTGGGATTTAAATATGTGAGGGTTCCTGATTTGAAGTGCCAGTCCATTTCATGCCTGTAAGACAAGAACTTTGAATCAATTCTAAAATAGACAGGAAGCTAGTGCAGGGAAAGTAAAACAGGAGCGATACGATCACATTTACGTGTGGCTGTCAGAAGTCGTTAGGCAACATTTTTAACCAGCTGCAGATGAGAGAGCGAGGACTGGCTCCTACAAAAATAATCTGTACTGCTGCAATAATCAAGTCTGAAGATGAAAGCTTATATCACTCAAACTCTGGGAACAAAAGAGGTCTCGACCTTCACAAAAGACCTAAACTTGAAAGAAAAACTGTGATGACTGCTTGTGTTGTTTTTTCTAAAGATTATGAAAGATTACACCAAATGATTTTCTGAAGGTGTCAAAAGGTCAAAGATCAGTAACTGTAAGAATATTAGCTGATGTTAGATCTTTTATTTTTCCATCACTTAGTTTCAGAAAGTTAAGTTCCATCCACTAATGTCATCAAAACAGCCCAATAAGGAATTAGATGGTTCTACATATTTCTACGGGTTCAGATGGATTTGAGTCATAACATTGGCAGAACATCTGAGCTTGTCTGAGATGGGGATTGAAGGGATTTGCTAATCTAATTGATGTACAAAACATCCATTCACTTTACCACTGATTGGCTGAAATCTCTTTCAGATTATGAATATATTGCTTTCTTACAAATTAGTTTTCCCCCGTCTTCTTTAGAATAACTCGCCAGATTTGGTTTCGATAAATATTTTCATTTGGATCAGATGTTTTGTTATTTTCATCTAATTTCTGTGTGAAATTTCTGCACTGATGTACAAGTTTTGCCTCCAGACATCCAAAGAGCTCAAAGTCACTCAGTGGTTCTGACAAAGTGAACAGTCTCTCCTGACCCACATCTTTTGCTGTTCTTTGCTTGATGTTTTGATTCATGGATTTCCAGGTCAAAACATGAAATGAAATCCCAGACATCCTCATATGGTTCAGTAGGACATTCAGACAATTTACATTAAGTCACTATCAATCAAATTTTATTTCCATAGCACATTTCAGCAGCAAGACATTTCAAGGTGCTTTACATAATTAAAGAAGAAATAAAAACAATATGTGACATTAATAAATAGATGAAAAGTAAAGATAAAACCATCAAAAATATCGAAGACATCAAAACCCACACTCTAACCCTAATTTAGCCATAAGCAACTCTAAACAGGTGGGTTTTAAGTTGAGATTCAAAGGCACCCAGTGTTTCAGCTGCTTTACAATTTTCTGGAAGTTTGTTCCAGATTTGTGGTGCATAGAAGCTGAATGCTGCTTCTCCTCGTTTGGTTCTGGTTCTGGGGATGCAGAGCAGACCAGAACCAGAAGATCTGAGGGGTCTAAGAAAATAAGAAAATATTGAACCAAAGTAAAACAGAAACAGCTGATAAAAGAAAAGGAACAAAGGAACACAGAAATGAGCAAAACCTAAATTCAACAACCCTAGATCTTGACATCTGGAAACATTGTTTTAAAATAAGACTAATTTCATACACTTCAAGCCTTTATTTAATTCCACTTTTAGAGTAATCACATTTTGAAAAGTTAAACTATTCATCGTTGTCATTTAATTTTTTTATCCAGCTTATTATGCATTTCTCCTCTGTCAGTAATACAGTTCACCTAAAGCCTTATCCATGTATATTGATGTCCTAATATTCACAAGAGAGTTAAAAAGAATTCAAACTGAAGTGAGTAAATAAATAAAATGGTACCAAATCATTCTTGGCTGAATGTTGATGTAAACATGAAGTCACTGTTTACACCTGTTCGATTTTAGGACCATCATTCTTATTTTCCATCCTCAATTTTTCTACAAAGTAAAATCTTGTCCCCACAAAGTAACCTCCAGACTCAGATTTCTGGCTCGGTGCCCCTAATGTCATTTTAGTTAGCGTTGTACTTATGAAACATAAGCTGATGGGGAAGACTCAGCTCCCATTAAAACAATCTGCTTATTTAATGTTTGAAAGGTCAGATGCACCACTCTGCCAAATTTAATTATTCTGAGAACCTGCTCTCTGCAAATGAGAAATCTTATAATCAGGATGCCTGTACATAACAGATTGGAAGATGTGCTTATATTTGTGTGTGTATGTGTTTTTTTTGTTTTTTTTTAAACAAAATCATAATTAGCTAAGCATTATTTGAGCATATATGCTATGAGTTTGGGGTTACTTGCATGAAACCTTCAGGGCAAATGGACAACTATAACCCATTTATAGGGCACTCAGAAATATCTTTAATTTCAAAATTTCTACCTCAAACTGTAACTGGAGGGTTCAAATGACGCCTTTAGATTTTTCATTTGAGGCAGAAATTCAAGTTTAAAAAAGTTAGATGACACCATCATTGAAACCGATGTCAAGTTGGTAAGCAAAGGTCTCACTGCCAGCACCGATGGTTCAGGACAATCTTCTCTTTCCTGCTTTAAGTTGATCAGAATTACTAAGAACTTCTACCTTCACAACAAACTGAGTGGGTTTGAATCAAAGGATTAGTAAATGTAAAGGCACTTAATCCCCACAGTTAACTAATGTGAGCCTGCTTTTCTTCCAAAGACCATCTGGACCTTGTTGGAAGAATTGCATCAACTTTTTGAATTTCTAGAAGAGTTGAGGAACATCTGACAGATTTTCAGAAAATCAGAGACGAGACCCCAGAACTCTGCAACATGGAAAGATTGTGCAAAGAGCAATGATCAAAGATCCAGCTCTCTGTACGCTTCAGAAATGCAAGATGCTACTGGAGAAGATAAAATGCTGTCCAGTCAGCAAAAGGTGTCATCCTTTTGGGCCAGACTCTGGTACAGGGAGAAATTATAGACAGAAAAAGAGGTTAATGCAAAAATTATTTATCAAAAAAGTGAATATGCAGATGGGTTCTTGGGACATAGTTCCAGCAGGGCACTAGAAAGCCTCCCCAACAATGTGATTTAGAGCCTGTTCTGGTCCCCAAATGCATTTTTAAACGAGTGTCACATCTTGCCTCAAAAAAAGAAGTTCCAAACCATAAACAGCAGTTTAATACAGTCACTGCAAAATAGCCTTTTCTGTGCCACATGCCATCTCCACTACTGCTTAGTTAACACACCGTTTGAAGTCATTACCTTTTCTGTTTTATGACATCAGTCTCTTTATCATGTACATAAAGATTGAGTTGAAAGGCTTGTGGATTGCTAATCAAGAGGAAGATACGTAAAAACCAAGCACAGCTCCGCCATCTTGTTACTACCTTCTCCTACCACATTGTGCAACACCCACTATTCACGTATTCTTGGTTCCCCAAAGTGGTGGAAACAAGCGTTGGCTCTTAGCAAGGCACTGAAGTTTGAAGGTACCTGAACCAAACCAGTTCAAGGATTAGAGTTTTCCTGGAGGAAAAGGCCTATGGGAGAAACAGTAAGTGATCAGCTGGAGGTTTGAACATAATAATAATAATAATAATAATAATAAGCAAGGCTTAATCATGAGGAATGGCAGAAGTTCCAGGAGGAGGCGAGTCAACCCACAGACCTGAGGTTGGCAGGTGTTTGATCACTGATGGTCCTCTGATGGTTTGTTTCCTCTGTCCTGGTTGGAGCTGATGAGTAATGATAAGGCAGGTGAGTGGAGCGGTGGAACGGGTGAGGAACCAAGGGAGCAGCTGTGTGGGGGATGGCAAAGATGGGGAGAGATTAAGGTAGGAGATCTTCACACAGATACCAGGACTTAGCAAGCAGCTTGTTAGAGTCCTGAACTCATACATAAACAGAGGAATACAGTTTCTGTCAGTGGAGACAAGAAAAGCTCAAGTCAGGACTGCAGGGATCCTGGAACCAAAAAATTAGAGGCCCAATTACAACTCTGGTGAGCAAAACAATCTGGCAGCTGGTTTAGGGAGCCAACTCCTCTTTAAGCACCTGCTGATGAACCTTAATGAGCTGCAGCTGCGGCGCTTGCACCTGCGGTCACACCCTGGAGAGAAGGATGAGAGAAACAACAAACAGCCTCTACTCAGCTCTGAGGATGTGACTAAACAGTTGTGCAAAGTATTAATCCAGGTATTTTCTTATACACTATTATTATGAAACACATTCATTTTCACATCAAGACAACCTGTAAGCAAATTATAAGCAATAACCAATTTAAAATTGTTTTACAGATTCCATCAGACTCTCTGCTTTTTGATGTAATTTATCCTGTAAGATGAGCTTCTTTAGCTTCCAACTCCTGTGATAAATGTTAAAGTTTTGTCCACTAAACCTCTCTGGGTTTAATCAAAGATCCACACCTCACTTCTAAAATAAAAACAGACACAGTACCAAGAAGTTCATAGCCAATTAGACATGCGTCTGATGACACCAGTGTGTCTCCAGAAGTGAAGTAGTAGCACAGGGGGGATTTGCATGCCAGACATTATTAGATCGCATCAAACTGCATCAATCCAGCCTGACACATTCCTGGATCTGCACCCTGTTTTGCAGCACACCCAGCTTTAAGAGCCAGATTTTTCTTTTTTAACCAACACAAAAGAGTCTTTGAGTTCAACTAATTGTATCTTTAGTGTAACAGAACCATGGCTTGGGTCATGGATTATTTATCCATATACATGTGGATTTGATTAACTTGTCTATGTAAATAAAGCCAAAAGATGTGGGACCAAACTAAGAGAATCACTGTGAACTAAAATTGTGGGTTAAATTATTTCTGTTTTGTTTCCCAAAATATTTCATTTTCACTGATGAGACCAAAGGTCAGACTTGTATGTTTCTTTTCATAATTGAAAAATAATACAAAACCTTCTGGGTAATAAAACACATTTCTGGGTAGAAAAGTTATGGCTGTAAATAATATCCAGAGAATTTTTTGTGTTAGGGTTTAAAGGGTTTAAAAGGATTTGAAACAGATGAAAATCTTTCAGAAAATTATAATTAATCTTCATCAAATAAGTTTTATTTATGAAGACTGACTCAGATTTCTTCACTTCATCCAACACTTTAATATAAAACTTGTTCTTGGTTGTGAGTCAAATAAGTCAAAAGTGAACGTTTATAAATGGTGCATGAGATTTAAATTCAGAGGCATTGTGTTGGAAAATAAACTTATGTTTGTGAAAATATTTTAGAGTCACACTGTGGGCAGATCATCCACAAAACAAACTTTTGAAAGATTGATGTTATACGTAGCGAACCCTGTCCACGCTGTGTTGCCTCCAGTTTCCTGCTTGTTCTGCATTTGGGTCCTCAGTTCTACTTGGAGACAAATCTACCAACCACTGCAAACATGAAATTCACTTTAAAACTTAGATTCAATTATTTCTTTGATATGTTCTTAATGTGATGTAGTATAATTGTAAAATATATTTTGTTAAAGAATCAAGCACCAGAATTCTTCTGTCCCTCTATTTCACCATAAAAATGATAATAAAATCAAAGTTTATTTCTACATTCAGTTGCTTAACTTCAGTCATATAGAAAAGAATAATAATACACTGGAAAATATATCTTGTATTTTTTAAGTTTACACTGATAAATAAATATCAGCACCCCCACACATGTGGAGGAATATGATGACAATGATCTGAAGATATTTTTCTATTTTTTCCCCCAGCAGTTTCAGTGAGCTGAAATTTCTTTAGATGTTTCCACAGATATAAAACTCTGCTCAGCACAGAATGCTCTTCAGTTTGAACAAACATTAATTTTATATTGCATAAAAGTGCTGTGTAGTACATGATCCATGAAATGACTTTATACACAATATTTTTTCACTGACAGAATGTAAAAATCAATAGTATGAAAATGTTAGGTGAATGCTTTTCATTTTTAGAATGATTTGATCTCTTGCCAAAAACTCTACCTTAAAAAAAATAAAGGATAGTAAGTCATCAGTGCATCTATTCTTTATAGTGTAGTTACTTGGAGGGCAATTATATCCCTAAATAACATCCTACTCTCCTCTAACTCGGGCATGTAATTTAATGGACAGACTAAGGACTCAGAGGACTTCCGTATCGCAACAGACAGCGTTTTACATGTAGAACAATAAATCTATTTTAGTTTCTTTTCACTCTTCCATAAAGGCCAGGTTGCTAAAACGGGCAACTAATGTTTGCGCTGCAGACAGATTCACTGCCACCAAATTCACAATTTGATTTTATTTCGGGGTATCAGCTGAAATAAAATGTTTTCAATATTTTTATATATTTAGTTATGGAAACATGTGAAAGCAATTTATTATATTTCCCCCATTTCACAATTATTCACTACTCTGTGATAATCTATCACGTAAAATCCCAATAAAATACAGTAAAGTGTGTGGTGGCGTTCAAAGGGTATGAATACTAGTGCAATACAGCGTAATTTAATTTTGTATAAATCCGATTTGCTAACTGGAATAGGGTTGAATCCATGTTCTCGGAGACATGTTCATTCCGTGGGTCTGATCACGTCCGTGGATTTCTCACAGAAGCTGCTACAGATAGTGAAGCGTCACGTGTGTGACAGCATCTCGCTCAGCTGGCGTCACGCAGCCGCCGACTAGGAGGCGGGGAAGCGGCTGTCCGTGGTGCTGATGGCAGTGATGCGCTCCAGCTACACGCTGCCGCTACTGCGCATGTTGCATGACAGGTACACGCAAGCCTCCATCTTGGGCATCCCGAGCTGAGGCGAAAGGGCAGCAGCCATATACACTCTGATTCCAAAATAACAATAAGCGGGGGAAATAAACACAAAAATTGGCAAATTGCCGAGAAGTAACTTTTCTTCCCTGAAAATATACGCTCAACAATTTGCTTCTCAGAGGTGAGCGGAGAACAGGATGGGAAAGAAAATCAGCGACTGGTCTGCGAGGCTCTGATAGGGTTTTATTTTTTTAACAGTCAGCTGTTCTGGATTTATCTTTGACAAGAGGAAAACCAGAACGGTAAGTGGAGCTGTGCATGTTCAGTGATTAACGGATAACATGTTTTTTATATGCTCATAGCATGACGTGACATCACACCATCGCCTTCACATGCATTGGCATCTTCTTCCTGCGACCCCCCGTCATGGTGGTCGCTGTTTGCTGTTTAGTTCCCACTCCTGTCCGTCCCCCCCCCCCCCCCCCCGATGCTCAGAGCGTCAGCCTCCTACTTTTCTCTTGTTAGAAAAAGGCTGGAGGCGATGAGCAGCTACAGGTTGGGATAGCTCCGGGTTGCTTTTTTTTTTTTTACCTTTGTTGCATGTCGATATGAGCAGAAGACAGGCCTTTGGTCACAAAGACTTTTGTGCATTAGAATGTTCCAAACGCGGATTTTGTCATTTCAAATGTTATGAAAGATATTTCTTTGATTTTAGATGAAAAAAAATAATAATAATAAAAAATCACTGGTAAATTATTTTGAACATTTACAGGTTCATGTTTCAAATACCAAATCGAAATTTTATGAACAATTCAAAAATCAACAATTAAAAAGCAAATTTGTATTTTTCTTATTTTAAAATGTTGAAAATGTCTTATTATGTGCAATAATCTGTAACCAAATGTTGAAAAGTCAAGTTCAACTGGGAAAAGAGACCAAAGCTCTCAGACTTAGCCATAATATCAACATTTAGCCTTGGCAGAAAAAGGGTTAATTGCATTTATGTTTTAAGACTGTGGATATCTGGACCTGAACAACCTGAGTTGGACATGACAGTTGTGCCATTGGGCAAGGAATGTGAGTCACTGTGTGACACAACCTCTGTCTGTTTAAAATTGCTAGTAGTAAACAGAGCTGGTTAAGCCTAAGTCTGCTGCATGGCCATGGTTGAGTGAAGTATTTTAAATCAAGTCATATTTCTGTTGGGATGTATTCATATGTCCATGTTGAACGTAAAAATACAGAGGTGCCCTTTTTAGCACTGTCCCAGCTTGGGGTCTTCATGTTTGGGGTGGTCATGATGTTCTCATCCCCTTTCTCATTAGTTCTCTGCCTTCATCAAACCAGCCAAAAGATTAATGTCAGGTTAACTGGAGATCCTAAATTGTCCTTATTCAGCCACTGAATGAGTGCTGGCGTTATATGGATAAGTAGGTAGAAACATTGGAAGGATATTTTCTAAATAACCGTTAGACACAAATATGTGGATGAATGGTTGTTTGCCTTGCATCCCGAGTTTTCCCTGTGATTGGCTGGAGAGCTTCCACTTTCTTCCTCTCCTCATATCTATTAAAAACTGGAACAGGCCTATGACAACAAAAGAATGGAAAATAGCAATCCACTAAAACTGTGTGTTTTACCAAGTTGTTTTTGCCAGTGTATTAATAGCTTCTAGTAGTTCAAGTCAAACTAATTTATCATTGAACGTAACACACTTTTCGGGACTCACAGACAGTGGTATTTACAACCGTTTGAAATAGTTAGCTTAAAAACCGACCCAAATCTTCTCCCTCCTGATGTGTTGATCAAATTGCAGACTTTTCCAGAATTCACACCACTTCATTTATATCATTATGTTATAAGTAGCATTTCCGCTAACACCGGAAAAGCCTCAAAAACGTACAAAGACTAGATGCTAACAAGTTAGCAACATGTTAGGCAACATAATGGCGGGGCATTTTCTACATGATTACATAGGGTTAGACATGTACCTTTTCCGTAATGCAATATTTTATATCTTTCTAATCATGCTTACTTCTAAAGTTTATAAACCTCAATCTTCTTACTTTATGAAAAGTGTTAGCAGCAAATCCACGATTACACCGAGGGCTGCCAGTCGGCTGCAATCCATCACTACCATATTTCTTCATTAAAAGTTACACAATAAAATAACAACATTGGTTTTCACCCTTGTCTGTTTATGCAGCTGACCGCACAGCATCCTGTGACAATTTTTTAAGGTGAAATCAAGTGAAAGCGATGCTAATGGGCTAACAGTTGTCTGTTTTTTGGAAGGCTTTACAAGAGTGCATAAGTTGTTTTGAGAAGTGGGTGGAGTTCTGGAAAGTGTGACGTCACATGTGAAAGGTCACAGGCTCCGCCCACAAGAAGATAAAAAATACC